CTAGATGAAGGACCCGCGTATATGCGGGTTTGTGATTTAATCTGTTATAAATCTATAGAAAATAAAATGTTTATTTGTGGTGAACAAAATTAGATCACCCATCAACATAAATAAAATCAAAGTAAAAGTGCTACTAAAAAACCATTGATCGAGAAAAATATCATTTATTTATTAATTTTTATGTTTTTATTATTTATAATTAAAATTTATCACATCTTTTGAAATTATTAATTTTTCTTAGTCCTATTTTAATTTGGGAAATTTTTTTACTTTTAATCTTATTTTATTATTCAACTATCTACTTTTTAAAATAATGATGGATTATTTCTCATATTTATATTTGAACTATTTTTACATTTGAATATTTATAACTTGCAAAAATCAAAGACAAAAAGACAAAAGAAAAAATTAGATCACTCTATTTAAATAATAAAATAATATTGAAACCGTTATTACAAAATTATTTATAGAGAAGTGTATAAAATATTTATCTACTGTATTTTTATATTTTATTGTTATATTGTTTGATTTTCAACTAAATTATATCACATATATTTAAATATTTCTAATTCTATTTAAAATAGGATTATATTTTACTATTTACCAAATCAAGATATTTTTTTAAATAGATAAATCTTTTCAAATGTGGCTAAAACTAATTAAAAAAATATATTTTATATTTATATAAATCTAACCGATTAACTCAAACATGCTTCGATAAGATTAATTACCTTGTATAAAAATTCGAATTTGCAAAATAAATTATGTTACTATTTTAGTAATTATTAAGTGGAAAAATAAATCACTACATCTCATATCAATGTTGTCAACAACAAACAAAAAATCGAGTTAAAATAAATCATATTAAACTCAGAGAAAAAAAAAATTGTCGTATTCTATTGCATATATCAAAAAATATAATAAACGATCTTTTCTGATTAAAAATCAAAACAAATAAGTTTTATGAAAAATATGAAGTCTTAAGAGCACAAAAGTATGTGAAAATAAATGTAAAAATTGGACATTTAATCTTAAATCTATTCAAACTCAAAAAAAAAAGTTACATGAATATTATAATATCTCAGTAAAAAAGGATATTTGATTTATTGTTTTATCGATTTCTATGTAAAATTAAAATATCTAATTGATAAATACAAATAAATAAATTTTTATTTATTCAACTAAATTATATCACATATATTTAAATATTTCTATTCCTATTTAAACTAGGATTACATTTTACTTTTTACCAAATCAAGATATTATTTTAAATAGATAAATCTTTTGAAATGTGGCTAAATCTAATTAAAAAATATATTTTATACTTATATAAATCTAACTGATTAACTCAAAAATGTCTCGATAAGATTAAT